GATTACTAGTAATAAAAGCATTAATTAAACTAGCCGCTTTTAATAGTACTTTTATAAGCTACTTTAAGTTACTTAGTATTAAGAGGTATAAGTAATAAGTATAGGATTAAGTAATTAATAACGTAAGTAAAAGGATCGGTTAAAGGAGTATAAGGTAGGATTATATCTAGAGTTTATAGCGAGTATATAAGGGGCTAAATAATATATTAAAAGAATAGCGTTATAAAAGATACTTATAAACTTACTTATTTTATCTACTACTCCTAAGGAAATCCTTTGTTTTTTATAAACTATTACTCGCCTACTAGTAGACTAATTAGTTAGCTTTCTAGTATATTCTATAATACTTAAAAAGCTCTATCTATAGTATATCCTCCTAACTTAGTAGGTAGTTTAAATATAACGTAATAGTTAACGTAAGACTATAGGTTCTAGTATAAGTAGTAGATTTAACTAGAATATTCTATGCTCTACCTATTCTTATATCGCGGATATCTTTAAAACCGCTAAGCTAAAATAAGTAATAAGGTATCTATTCTACTCCTAATTAACTTATATAATTTATATATATTTTTATTTATTAAGATAAGCTTATCTTAACTTACTTTTCTTAAAGGAAGGTATAGATATTTAGTAAAGGTCTTTTATCTTTAAGGGTTATTCCCTTAAACTATATTATAAAGCCTCTTTTTACTAGCTTATTTTATAGAGCCTCCCTATACTTATTATTTCTTTATAATAGTAAAATAAGAATATAAAGGTTTATTTTATACTTAGTTACTAAGTATAGCCTACTACTTATAAATTAATAAAGGGCTTAAACGCCTTAACTAAGAAGTATAAGCTTACTTTTAAAGGGTAATAGCCTATAACTAAGTAAACTAAGATTAGTAGCTTCTTATAGCCTAGATAGCGCTTAATAGTAGGTCGAACTTATCTATTAGTATATTTTCCTTTCTTACGCTATATAGGTTTAAACCGCTATTAGTATAGCTTATTATTATAGATATAGGCATAGAGCGCTACCTAGCTAGCTTCTTAAAAGTTAGGGCGTCTACTTTTATATAGAAGCTATAATAAGTTATAGAGTTCTACTAATCTTCGATAGCGTCTACCGCCTAAGACTAAGAGCGGTAAGCTAATAAGTTATAGGATCCTATAAATAGGTTCGCGGTAAGGGATAAGGTTTAGCTAAACCTTTATAGCTATAGGTTAATAAGGCTAAAAAAGAAGCTTAACTAGCTATACGCTAAGTATATAGTAAAAAGGGTACTAAGTCTATAAACTATAAAGCTAAAAGGGCTACCCTTTAATATTTATACTATAATTAACGTCGACCTCTTTTATCGCGCTATTATAGACCCTTTACTAAGCTAAGAGATAGCGGATCCTTAACTAGCTATAATCCTTATTAAGGGGAAAAAGGAGTTCTTAGTAAATAAGTTATAAATAGCCCGTTAAAAAAATATAGGCTATAGTAAGAGGCGTAAAGTCCTCGTTAAGTAGCGCGGCTACTAAGACTTAATATAAGAGCCGGCTTCTAAGTTTAAAAGCGCGGTAGCTCTAAATAAGTTTAAGGCCCTTTATAGGCTAGTAAAGGAAAATAACGGCCTAGTAAGAGAAGCTACCCCCTTAGTAGTAAAGTAGCTAGTACCTTAAGACATAAGGGAGACTATACCCCGCCCTTAAGAAAGCGGCGGGGTACTAAGCTTATAGCGGTCGCTTCGCTAATATAAGGTATAAGTATATATTATAGATACCGTAACTATAGATAATAAGTAAGGCGTACTTAGGTTAGCGGTAGTATAAATAAATTATATTAGCTTTTATAGGCGCGCTTAAGGGCATATAAACTAGGCCTAGTAGGCCTTCTTTTTTAATAGGGTCTTAACTACTAAGCGGTCTTCCTTATCTACCTCCTTATCCTCCTCTTTAGTATAAGGCGCGGCCCTAGCCTTAAGGGCGCGGATCCGGCCCTCTAAGCTACCTAGCTAAGCGGCGACGGCGGCGGTGCTAGTAGTAGTAGAGGCGGCGGCGGTAGAGGTAGCGGGGGCGGCTAAGGCGGCGGCGACGGTGCCCCTAAGAGAGAGAGAGTTAGCGCTATAGAGAGTATAAGAAAAGGAGCTTATATACTTAGGTATAAGGGCGGCGCGCTCGAGGAACTATAAGTTATAGTAGGCGGCGGCGGTAGCGGTTAAGGCGCGCTTAGCCTTATTTTAGTCCTTACCTAGCTCCGCGGCGCTCTAAGCTATAGTAGTATAAGTAAGGACGGGCGGCGTAACCTTATAGGCGCGGCTAGCCTAGGTATATAAGAAGTAGCTACCCTAAGAGCGGCCGGCCTAGTTAGTATAAGGGAGGGACTATAAGGTATACTATATATAAAGGGAATCGCGGGTAGCGCTTTAGGCTATAGCGCGCTTATATTAATATAAGGAGTTAGTAATACTCGCGAGAATAAAGGTAGAGGGGCTTATAAAGGAAGGCGGCGAGGACCTATGCTTATTATTATTATCGTTATTATCGTTATTTTCGCGGCGGCTAGTAGTAGAAAGCGTAGTAGGGGCGGCGGCAGCGTAGGTAGTAAAGTTAATAGCTAAGAAGCTAGGTAGCGGGTAGCGCGGAGTAGCGGTAAGCGCGACTAGGGCGGTAGGGGTAGTAAGTAAGGTAGCGGGCGAGGTAAGGGCGCGATTAATAAAGTTATCGATCTTAATAAAGAAGTAAGATAAGGTAAGAGAGGATAAATTAAATTATTTAAATAACTAGTAAGGGTATAGGTTAGCTTATATATAGGCGGTAGCGTATAGCTAAACGCTAAGAGACTTATAGTTATAGTTATAGCTATTGCTATTAATATTAATAATAATAATATAGTTAAAAAGAAAGAGTAATAACAGCGCGCTAGTAAGTTATTTACCTTTTAACCGCGCGCTAAGATATAAGATTAACGTTATAAGGGACCGCTTATTAAGAGAGGGGCAAGGACCTTATATAAAGGTATTTACCCTTAGTATAGGTCTAAGTATTAGCCTAGACCTTAGCTAATAGCGTTATAGGGTAAGGTAGGCTATATATATAAATACGTATTTAATAGTAGTAAGCGTAGTATATAGTTAGATTTTATATAGCTTATTATTATAATATAATAAAAGGCACCTATAGTATAACCTTCTACCTACCCTATAATAAGGGCCTAGCTTTAGTATAAGGGGCCTAAGACCCTTAAGAGCTTAATAAAGCTTTTTTAAAGGCTTTAAAACTAAGCTTTTTTAAAGGTCTTAGGGGCCTTTAAAGGATCCCTTATTAAGGCTTTAAAAGCTAAAGTAGCTTTACTACTACTAAAGATATAATTTAAAAGGGTATACCTCTCTTATACCCTTTAGACCTTATACTTCTTACTTAGTTACCTTATAAAGTAAGCTTATAACTTAGCTATATAGAGCGACCTCGCCGACTTAGGCTTTAACTTATAAGCCTTAAGCTATATTAAGCTATATATATAGCTCTTCCGCCTCCTTAAAGGCCTAGTAGCTCTTATTAGACCTAACTATAACTTAAAAAGAAGAAAAGCTAGCTAAGAGCCCTTATAGGCCTTAAAGCCTAAGGCCTCTATTATAATAATAAAGGCCCTTAAGCCCTTAGCTAAGAAGTAGTATTAATACCTCTTAGCTAGCTTAGCTAGCTTAGAAGACTTTAGGTTACGGCCCCTAGCCTTTTATATTAATAGCTTTAAGGGGTGCTCTAAGGGATCCCTTATAAAGACTAATACTTACTCCTTTTATAAAATAAGCTTAGAAAATAGGCCTATTAAAGTATACTATAAGAACCTAGGGCCCTTAATTAAAGTAACTAATATAAAGCAATTCGCGATACTAAGGGTCTTAGAAGACCTAACTAAGAGGCCTTAACCCTTAAGGCTTAGCCCCCTTAACCCCCTTATAAATACCTATATCTTTATAAATAGCTAAGCTACTATAAGGAAGGTTATAGGTTTCTTAGACCTAGCTATCTATATTAAAGGGCTCCTATCTAGCTTAGAAGCTTTTTATAATATATAGCTATATTAATGCCCTAGCTACCTAGGGATCTTTAGTAATAAGCTTACTAACTAGCTAGCTAAAAGAGGCTTAGGGGCCCTTACCTAAGGGACCCCCTTAGTCTTTATTAGCTACTTATAAAGAAAGGTCTCGTAAGCTACTAAGGACTATTAAAAGGGACTCTAAGCTACTAAGGCGGCTAAAGGCCCTAGGGCTAAGGGCCTAGGTAAGCACTATATATCTATTTAAAAGACCCCTCGCCTAGCCCTTAGCCTAGAAAAGGACCTTATAGGGAGGCCTAAGCCGACCCTCTTAGCCTTTTACTAGCTCCTCTTTAAGGCCGGCTTCTTATTTTCCTTCTTAAAAAGGACTAATAAGGTAGACCGAGACGACTACTACTACGGCTAAGGAAGGCATACGGCTAAGCACCTTATCTTAAGGTGCCCGAACTATAGGAGGGAAAGAGAGGTCCTTTACCGGACCTCTAAGAGACGGGAGGGGGCTATTAGCCTACCTATTCTCTATAGCTCTAAGGAAGAAAGGGAAGCCCTTTTAACCTTCTTAGCTAAAATAGAGATAGGGACAGCTAAGTAGCTTAAAAAGGAGTAACCTAGGGGCCCTAGGGCCCTTAGGGGGGAAAATCACCGCGCGGGAGGAACCAGACTAACCTTTCCTTTATCTTTGCCTTTATAGCTACCCTTTCCTTAATTAGTTATAAGCCCCCGGGCTCTATAGCTAGCTAGGACTGCTAATAGGGGCCTACGCCCCTATTAGCCTCGCCATGGCCCTAGAGGCTGCATGCGAGTAATGATAAAAAAAAAGGTCGACACGGCCTACCATAGCACCCACATGACCCCGTGCGCGGGACCTTATCATGCGTCCCTCGACGGCTGCGGAATCCAGCCGACGGACCCGGGCGAACACGAGGTAACTACCTGGTACTCGAGCGTCGTGTAAGGCGAGCTGATGAGCGCGGCAAAGGTCACGAGCCGGTACTGGGTCGACAACATGTGCAACTCGGTTATGTTCGCCGGGGCACTGGCCCGTGTGGCGCAAGAAGCTGGTGATGTTAACCTCGTGGTTAAGATCGGCCCTCATCCCGCTCTTAAGGGTCCTACAACAGCCGTCATCGCGAGTGTTCCATACACGGGACTGCTCGCTCGCGGCGAGAATAATGTTCTTCAGCTCAGTGCTGCGTTAGGATTTGTCTGGACGAGACTTGGGACCGACAGCGTGCGATTCCGCGACGTCGAATCGCTGCTGTCCGGCACGGAAAGCAGAGCCAAGGTCCTTGACGATCTTCCTCCATATTCCTTTGAGCACCAGCGCACCTACTGGACGGGCAGCCGGATGGCCAATCACTTCAAGCACCGACGGGCCATCCACGCCCCGAACCCCATTCTGGGCTCGCCGTGCTCCGAGGCGACGACGCCCGGCGAGGTTCAGTGGCGCAACATCTTGCGGCTCGACGAGATGAGCTGGCTAAAGGGCCACATGCTTCCCCTCGTTGAAACGAAGCCATACAGCATGGTCAGCGTCGACAACGAGGCTTTCTATGCCAATCTCTCCGATGTTGGGTATAATTACTCGCCGCCGTTCTGCGGCGTCTCCAACATCCGCCGCAAGCCCGGCTATAGCGTAGGCACGCTGCTCAACCAATCCGGCTCTGCGTGGGAGGACAAGCTCGCTCTGCACCCTGGCATGCTTGGTTCTGCTCTGCAGGCTACCTTTGCCGCTTGGTCGTTCCCCGGCGAGACTCAAATCTGGGCACTGCATGTCCCCGTTTCCATATCTACCATCATCGCCAACCCGTATTTTACCACGCTTGGCCAAGGCGACAAGCAGATAATGATGCGGTACGAGGCCTTCATTCGGAGCATGGAGTCGTCTAGTGTCGTGGCAGACATCTACCTACATAATGAGAATGCCTCTCACGCAGATCGAGGGCTGTGAATCCAGTACCCTTTACCCGGGCAGCCTCCAAGAACGATGTTGCCATGTTTTCGCGGTTTAAAAACGGCGTCGCGTCTCCAGATGCGCAGCTTGCCGTGGGCGAGGTGAAGCTGCCCGACCCGGTGACCCAGCTATATCAAGACGTCGAGCGCGTTGCATACTGGTTCCTGCGCAACTTCTCGGTGGCTATCCCGGCCGACCAGCGGCATGACCTGCTTCCACACTTCAGGCACTACCTGGGGTGGTGTTACCGAATGGTGGACATGGTGAGCCGAAGTGAGCAACCCAAGGTGCCGGCCGTGAGCAACTACGACACCCGCCAGTGCGTCGACGCCATATTGACCCGGTATGAGAGCCGCAAGGACGTTCGCTTCGTTCAAGTTGTTGGCGAGAATCTGGAGCCCGTCATTAGAGCACATGAACCAGGACGGCCTCCTTCTCGCCTTCTACCAAGAGCAGTCTCTCTGTTCTGGTCCAACCCGAAGCTGGTTGGCCCGCATCGTCTCGTAGATTGCCTACCGCTACCCTGGCCTCAACGTCCTCGAGGTCGGAGCGGGCACGAGAGCCACGACGATCCCCGCGTTGCGTGAACTTGGCGATGCATGCGCCTCGTACACGTTCACCGAAATCTCCAGCGGATTCTTCATAGCAGCAGAGGAACTGTTCGAGAAGGAGGCTGGCAGCATGGTCTTCAAGACTTTTGACATGGAGAAGGAACCGATGAAACAGGGCTTCGTCGAGGGCTCATACGAGGTGGTCATTGCTGTCAACGTGCTGCATGTCGCGGGAGACCTGGAGACTTCCCTGTCTAACGTGCGTCGACTCTTGAAGCCTGGCGGATTTCTTGTCGTGGGCGAGTTTACATACACGAACCGGCTCTTTAGCGGCATGACGGTTGGGACACTACCTGGCTGGTGGATTGGCGCCGAGAATGGCCGCCCATGGGTTCCGCTGCTCACGCTGGGCTGATGGGATGCCGCTTTGAAGAAGGTGGCTTTCCGAGCATTGATACCATGACTCCGGACTTGAACTCGACGCTTCCTAAGAGCGTCTTCGTCGCTCAGGCTTCCAACGACCAGGCCATGCTGCTACGTGACCCCCTCGCAAGCAACATGAAGGACCAGCACGCCAGCTTGCGAGCCAATGCCCTCGCCATCATCGGGGGCACCACCAGGCCCGTGTATAAACTCGGGCAAGAGGCGTTCTCTATCCTCTCCAACCGCGTCCACGACACGCGGCTCTTCGACAGGGTCGAGGATTTTGCCTCGTCCAACATGACTCGGGCGACATCCGACTTGGGAGTAATTACCGTCCTCTGCCTCACGGATTTGGACAAGCCCTATCTGGGAGACACTACCGCGGACAAGTTCGACGCGCTCAAGATGATGTGGGCCACGGCAGGCACCCTTGTCTGGGTAACGCGCGGGTCGAGGGACGCGGCGCCGTACAGCCACATGATGGGGGGCATCGTTCGCACCGTCAAGACAGAGTACCCGAACTTGAACTTGCAGATGTTTGATCACGTCTTGTCAAAGTCCAGGAAAGACTGCTTTGAGCCAACCCAGGCTGACACCATCGGGTCGGGCGGCGACAAGGACCCGTAGCCGTATTGTTCTGCTTGAGTCTGCGCATATCGTCGAATCCAGTCCAAAACAGAGACGTCGCCGAGCAGGAAAAGAGCCAGCCACCAGAATGCAACCTTGGATCGGCACGAGGCGAAAGTTTTCACCAGAATTTCCAACCGCTTGGCATTGATGGTTGGGTCCAAAGTATCCAGAATGGCAGGCAGCAAGCCATGGACTCACGAGGTTGCATTCGACGTCCGGCTGCCAAAAAATGCTCCACAAGATCGACCCTAGTGATGGTGGATGCAGACTGAGGGTCATGAAGTAACGCAAGTCCTGCATCAACCGGCGAATATGAGCCTGGTCGGTGTCGTCGAGCCCATTGGCACCTTTCGTGCTAAGGTGAGGAGGCGGAAATTGTGGGCGAAGGCCCATGAACCTATAGAATGGGAGAATAAGTGCTGCGAAGAATCCCGCCTTGGAGGGTGGCAATGATGTCCATTCCTGATCAGTTCGATCTGCCTCCGTTCCAAGACCGCATAGTCGGCAAAGCTCAAGCAAAAGCTCAATCGCCTCCGTGGAGTTTGGTGTGGCCAAGACCCCTTTAATTGATGCTGGCGCCGAGACAGCAATTCCCACATTCGCATCAATGGAAACAGTCCATAGCGGCACTAAAAGCGCGTATACGAAAGAATTATAGAATTACTTAATACATATTTATAGCTAATTATATACTAATTAATATAAAAAAGAAAAATATAATTACCTTATATATATTCCTTATTACTCTTTATAAGAGCGCTACTAGGAGGTATAAGCTAATAAAGCACTTAGGTATATAGGACTAATATATTAATAGGGTATTAGTAGGGAATTATATATACCCCGCTCGTAAGTAATAAGTAACTCGCTACGCCTATAGAAGAAAGAAAAATCCCTCTTCTTATAAGCTTTAGTCTTATAACGAGAGTACCTTTAGCTATCTCTACTACTTAACTAATCGTAGTATAATATATATTCCTTTATAATTTCTAAAGCTTTCCTTTTTAGTTACTTAATAGAGATAGCTCCTTAAAGAAGACTATATAATACTCTTATAGTAGGATATAGTAATTAACTAGTTAAGGCCTCTTTATTACGTATATTAAGTATTTACTTAAGAGATAAAGAATAAGAAGATATATCCTTAGAATAGACCCTTATTATAAATAGCGTTATAACTATATTAAAGATATCGCTACTTATAAGTATAAGATAACTATTTTATAAGGAAAAGCTTATAGCTTTATAAGCGTATATTAAGGAGCTAGAGGAGATAAAATACTTATAAGATTACGTTATATTATTAAAGGAGGAAATTACTAAACGCGCTAGTACTATCGCTATCTATTTAGGAAAGTATCGATAGTCCTACTCCCTTAAATCGGACGGTAGTCGCGGTAGTAAGGTTAAGATTAAAAATATCGCTTAATTATCTTAACCTACTAATATATAGAAACTTTTAGACTAAACTTATAATCTAAAGGATGCTTTTAAGGCAGCGCCTAGATATTCTTATTATAATAAAATAAAGATCCTTAATATAGTAGATTATATATATAGCGACTATAAAGCGAGATAGCGCTAATACTTTAAAAAATAAACGCTAATTAACTAGATTAAATATAGTATAGATTAAGTATACTTTAAAGAATAAATACTTATTTTAATTAAGGATACTATAAATAAGGAGATACTATTAGTAATATAATTAAAGGAGGCTTACTAATAAGAAAGCTAGTCCCCCTTAAAGTTTAGCTTATACTTTAACTCTTTAAAGAAGTATTTTAAACGCTTATTAAAAAAGGTATATACTCTTATATTTTTTACTAAGCTAGAGCTATAACTTTAAGATTAAATTAACCTTTATTTAATACCTATTTATACCTATTAATAGGAAGAGCTTATATAAGTCGCTTAATAATATTAGGATACTACTATTAATAAGAAGTAATATATTAATACTACTTCTACCCTTAGAGGAACTAGGAATAGAAATAGTACTATACCTTAAGGTAGTATATATAAAGGGAGAAATTAAAGAGGCTAATAAGCTAAGCTAAATTATTAAGAAAATACTATTAATTTAACCGATAACTAGTAAGCTAGTAATATACTTATTAAGGGCTAAACTAAGGGATATTATTAAGAAAGAAGATCTTTTACTTAATTAGGAATTATATATTTTTAATATAATAAGCTAGGATACTTATCTATAGAATATATTAATATTCTAAAGGTAAAAACCTTAGTAAAGACTCTTAGATTTAATACTATAAACTAAGGAAAAAGTAAGATATTAAGGTAAACGCTTCTCCCTTAGTAAACTTAATACTTATAAGATAGTTATTTAAAACTCTTATAATAATATTAAGGTAAAACCCTACTAAAGTCCTTATATACTTAAATACTTATAATACTATTAACCTTATAAATATATACTTTACTTAATAATAGGGATTACTATAAGTAGCGCTATTATACCTTAAGTTATTAGGGGTTAGTAATAGTAAGGTAAGGGAGTATAGAGTATAATTAATACCGCTTTAAATAATAAATATAAGAAGTACTAAAAAGATAATTACTTATTTTTATATTAGAATTAAAAAGTTAACGCTAAATAATTAAGTATTAAGCTTTTTATTAGTTACTACCTTAAAAGATAAATATATTTATATTATCTTATAGAAATAATAGTAGTAGTTTAAGTATTAACTAAGTAGCGAAACCTTATAAAACCCTTATAGATTCCTTTAAGAATGTAAGAACGAGGTAAGAGTATATATAATAGCGCTTAATCTTAAGCTAATCCTACTACTAAACAAAGATAAAGATAAAGGGATTTTATAGGAAGAATAAGCTAAAAATCCTATTAACTCTTTATTAGTTTAAAGATACTTTCTTAGCTAATAAATCTAACTTATTACTAACTAAAAAAGGAATAGATTACTTAATTAATTTAATCCTTAATATAAAACCCCCTTATAGACTAATTTACCCTTTATTATAAAGGGAAATCTAAGTATTATATAACTAGATCTAAGATATAATAAAAGGAAAAATAATCTAAGAGTTAAAGAGCTTAGCTAAGGCACTTATCCTTTTTATTTTAAAGAAGGATAGTACCTTTATCGCGAAGCGTAGCCTAATTTCGTAGTTCTTAGAGATATCCCTTAGCACGAGGGACCTAGGAAGCTAAAAAGAGGTATAGAAAGGAGCGTAGGGGTAAGAGGGGAAGTAGAAGTAGCGATAGCTTCCTATAGAGGTAGCGAGAGATAAGACGGATATACCGGCAACGGCTAGAAAGGAGGGGAAAAACCGGTAAAAAGCTTAGTAGTTAAAAGGATATTAATAGCTTCTTTAAGTAGGATCTTCTTTATTAATTAAGATACTAGACGGGTATAAAGAGGGGCGTTAGATAGAGGAAAGAATGATAATTAAGGTAATATAATAATTACTCCCCTACCTTTATTGCTACCCCTATAAGAATTAAATCTCTCTGCCCTGCCTATCCGACCCCTTACTTTTAATTTTACCTTTATATATTTATATATACTTCTTATATCTCTCTTCGCGAGAGTTATAAGCCTAGGAAGAATAGAATTCCTATACCTTCTAGCTACTATAAAAGGTACCTTTCTTATATCCCTTATAGCTTCCTTTTACCCCTCTTACTAAAAAAGCCGATTTTTACCTAACTTTTCTACCCTTCCCTATAATAATATCGAAAAACGACTCCTCTACCGCCCCTATAGTCTATAGGACGATTCTTATAAAGCCCTAAGATTAGGATAAGTAGGTAAAGGAGCTACGGGCTTATATAGATAGGACTATCTATAATTTAGTCTTCTTTAATAAGTAGGACCCTCTCGAGCCCCCTCTTTATCTTAGAGCAACGGAATTTATAGAGGGAGCTTCCCTCTTCTCTAAGCTAACCTCTATATAATAAAGAGCTTTTTCTACTACCTTAGGCGACTATAAGAGTTACCGAAAGGAATACCTTTACGAGATAAAGCTACTAACTACTATACGTATAGCGATAACGGAATCTATTAGTACTATAAAGCTAATCTCTCTATAAGAGGAAGAGACTCCTAGGTAGTAGCTTTTAAAGCTCGAGACCTTAATAGCTCCCTCGAGGGGCTATATAACTAACCGTATTAAGAAGACCTATATAGTATACCTAAGAGCCTTTTCTATTAGGAACCTACTAGCTTCTTTATAGCTAGCTAAGTAGGAAGAAATCCTTAAGGAAGCTAACTAATACTTCCTTATAGAAGCTCTTTCTAGCTAGTAGCTATAGGATATATCTCTATTAATAACGCCTATTAATAACGGTTACTCGACTATCTTTTAAGAAGCTAGCTAGGAACTAAATAAAGAAGCTACTTAAGTATAATAATAAGTAGTCTTATTTCTTTATAGCTAGTACTCGACCTAGACGGTTCGACCTATAGCCCCTATTACTATAGCCCCTACTACTACTACTATAGCTATTGCTCCTTTAGCTCCTCCTCCCTTAAGAGTATTAATACCGTCTTTAACGGCTGCCCTAGGCCCGGCCCCGGCTCCGCCTCTTACTCCGGGCCCGGCCCCGGTCCCGTTAGTTAGACCGGCCCGACTAGTCCCCTAATAGACCTTTTAGTCCGTTAGTCGAAAAATTAGGGAACTAGTCGAAATCAAACCTCTTCGTTAAAATTAGCAATAAAGGGTAAAAAGGGGGGGTTTTTAAGTAGACCTTCCGGACTAAGATAAGGATTCCTTAAAGAAACGTATAAGGAGGAATCGACCTACTTACTAAGTATATAAAAAGCCCTATCGGCTAAAAGACTACTAGTAGGTCTTTAAGGAAAACCGACCTAAAGGAATTAACCCTTTAAAGAGGCTATAAGAAATAGTATAATAGTCTCTTAAGGAGGACCCCTTATTATAGAAGAAGATAAACGAGATTTAGGTTACTAAGAAATAGTAACTAACGCCGCTACTATTATTTAAGCTAT